TACCTTCCCATACCTCACCCTGTCCCTCAGCTGTTTGATAGTTACCTACACTTCCTTCAAGATTCAAGATACAGGATAAACACTGCCTCCTTTTTATACTTTTTCTTGATGCTTCCACATGGTTTTGGATGCTCTTTACCCTGTAATTCCATCACATTTTGCACCTCCCTCTATCCAAGGGCTTTTATATCATTGTCTGTCTATCTGTGCACATGTCTACCTTATCCAGTAGACTGTTAAGTCATTAAGAGCATCAGCTGTGTCTTATTTATCCCTGTAGGTCAGCACATATCCCAAAGCCTTAAACATAATAAGTACTCATAAATGTGTTGAACGAATGATTCAAGTCAATGGGATAAAATCTAGTTAAATTCAGTGAGTACTTGTCCTTCCTACTTAAATAATCAGTGGAACCTTTTTAATGTATTATATATTATGCAACATTTATATATAATAGGTATAAAGAACAATTCAATGAACATATTTACCCATATCTTCATCAATAAATAAGATGTCATTAATAGAAATGAAGCTCGCTATATATCCAGGTCTGAAAAAAATGGAAAATACTTCATAAACATGTGTATCATCCTGAGCTGGGCTCTGTTCATCTCTTCTGTATTGTTCCAATTTTAGTATGTGTGCTGCTGAAGCAAGCAGCAGGTAATGAGCTTTGGCCTGCATTTTTATGGTTGTTCTGAGGTCCCAAGATGAGGCAAGGCAAGGCTTAGTCCTAAACTGCCCTAGTTACATAGCCATGCAATCCTTGCTCAGATTTTTCTAAGAAGCTGTCCTTCTCTAGTTTTCCCCTGGAATCCAGACAAGATTTCTGAGGGTCAAAATAATAATAGGAATGCTGTAGAATAACACTTCCTGAAAAATTCTAAGTGTTCTTCAGACCTTATCCAATTTGCACTTTTCACGTGTTTGCAAGATAGGCAGGAGCTACATTATTATCAGAATGAGAAAGCAGAAAATTTGTGTCTTACAAAAGGCCACTAGATGAATAAATTGTAGGGCCATAAATAGAGCCAAGCTTTTACTTTCAGTTTTGAATCTAGGTCTCCCTTCAGACCCACCTCCCTAGGTCCAAGGTTAAGCATCTGCTGTGTAAGGGAACAAATGGCTTCATCATGCTTCTGAACTTCTGTACCCACTCTATACTGTACTTCAGAATAAGCATAAGGGCATTCCACAAAGACTGCTATCTTATCAAACTCTACTTTCTTGTCCAATTCAGACTAGAATGAAGGGCCCACTGGTCATCTTCTTCCCATTCATCCAACTCTATTTTCAGGTAACTAATCCTTTGGTCTGCTTCATCTTCTGCCCTCCTCAATCTACATCCTTTCTTCTTCATATTTCAACATTCCCATCCTCACCTCTCCATTCTTCTCTCTTTTCTACCCCTCCTCCAAAACTCAACCCACCCTCTATCCTTTTTTCCATTTATTATTCAGTTTCTCTGTTATCCTGTTCTCCTCATTCATTCTCTATTCTTTCTCCTCAACTATTCTCAGTTTCTATGTGTTCATTTCCTTTCCTGCCCGTCACTCTCTCTCTTCCCTCTAGCTTCTCTTCCATTTTCTTACTGCCTTTTACCTACCCACATTTCATCATCATTCTATCCATCCAAACACCTCATTCCATACATCCTCTCTTCTGTTTACATCTACTCCATTCCATTCTTTCCACAATTGTGTACACACCCATCTCCTCTTTAAACTCTTCTCTCTTATGCACTTTATTACAAGTATATCTCTATTCTATCTATTCCTCCACTTATGCTGTATTCTCACCAAACTCTTTCATACATTATAACCATTCATATTTCTACTCTGTTTTATCCTCCCCACCTCCTTTTCAACATTTCTGTCTAATCTCATATTCTTTCATGCAGTGTGAGAAGACGTGTCCCTCTTCCTTTACAAGTTAACCTTTCACTGTAGTTTTGATATCACCCCTTTATGGTTTTCTCTGGGAACTTTAGGTCAGCAAAACACTATTTCTACTGTATCTTCAATCTTTGTCTTTCTTCCAGCCACTTTCTGCCATCTTACTAATATGTGTCAGTCTCTCCATTAAAAAAAAAACAACTATTTCTTTTACCCATGAATGTATCTATTATATACCCATCTCTTTCATTTTTAAACAAGCTCCCAGAAAATATTTTCTATGTTTACTATCTCCACTACTTCTACACCAACTCCTAAAAGCTCCCCATTGCACTAACCACTCCACTGAAACAGTGTATGTGAAGAACATCAAGGTCTTCCATGTTACCAAACATAACACATATTTGTAATTCTCTATATTATTTGATCTCTCTGTAATAGCCAATAATGTTGTAAAAATGTATAAATAACAGTAAAGAGCATGAAATTGCACCTAAACTGCCAGAGTATGAAAGCTGGATCCACCATTTACTACCTAGGTGATCTTGGAAAATTTTCTTACCCACTATGTCTCTGTCTCCTCATCTGTAAAGTGGGAATAATAGTACCTATTTCATAGAACTGTTATGAAGATTATAAAAGTAGAATGATTAGAACAGTGCCTGGTACATTGTAAGTACTATATTGATGTTAACTATTGTACTTACTATGCTATTATTGGTGTTATTATTATTGATCACTCTCACCTTTTTGAAACCCTTTACTCCTTTGATATATCAGTCAGAATGGGTTAGATTAATATGCAGTAACAAGCAATCCTAAAATCTCAGTGTCCTAAAACAACAAAGGTTTACTTCTCACTCACACTATTTGTCTATCCCAGGTTGTGGGGAGGGGTACTCTCTTATATGTCATCTTTAATAAGGGACACGGAATGATAGAGCCAAGACTACTTGGCATGATGCAACTCACTGTGGCCAGAGAAGAGGAACATGGAAAATCATGTACTGGCTCTTAAAAGTTTCCCATCCTCCCTCAGAAATGACACTTTGTTTCGACTCACATTTGGTTAGCCAAAGCAAGTCGTTTGTCCAGGCCTAACTTCAACGTTCTATGGAAGTGCAATACTACCATGTACCCAGAAGGAGGTGAACTAGAAATATTGGAAGTAGCAGTATTGACTACCACATTTAGTTTTCAAGATACTGCACACTAGCGGTTCTGTTAACACCTTCCTTACTTTTCCTTCTTGGTCTCCTTCATAGGTTCCTCTTTCTCCCCTCTTGCCTTAATGATACTTAATGCTACATGATTGGATCCGTGGCATGATTTTCTTTTCACTGTACATACCTCCCTGAAGTGATCACATCCATTCACATGGCACATGGTTGTCCCAACATACTGATAATACCAAACTTTACATCTCTAGCTTGTATCTCTCTCCTGATCGTAAGACTTCTATATCCAACTGCTATTAGACATCTATCGCTGGATAATCAACAATCTTCTTAAGCTTAATCTTGTCCAAAATTAAACTTGCTGATTTATCCTATCTTAATTTCTCCTAATTCTCATATGACGTACCCCAGTTTGTAGCACCATCATTCACCCACGTTACTTGGGTACCTACTACTTTGACTCCTCCTCCTCACTATCATTCTTCTGACATTGGCTGTTTTTACTGTCTAGTTCCTCAGGCATCTCCGCTTCTCCATCTTAATTCACTGCTCTGAATCAGAACTTCATTATTGCTCACCCTGACTATTGATGCTGTCTCCTAACCAGTTTCCCTAATTCCAGTCATGTTCCCTTCAAATGCATTCTTTACATAGTAACTAGAGTGCCATATATAAAATAAAAAACTGATCACCTCATTCTCTTGCTTATAATATACCATTCTGTTTCTTGCAACTGCTCACTTGGTTTTCTCTGCCTAGAATGTCTTTCTTCTTTTCCCTCCACTTTCCACCTACAATTTTCTTGACTTCATTCTACAATGCAAAAACAAATGCTGATACTAATAATTAGGAACATGGGTGTTGCCTCACCGAGGGACTTTTTGCTCAACCTCACCCAAAAGAATGGGTTAGATGACCCTTTTCTATCCTCTCTTAATTACCCATATCTTTACCATTTCAGTTAATGTTTTTTGTGATTATCTACTAGTCTTTCTCCTCTCTTATATTGTGATTGTCTTAAGGACAGAGACTATGTCTTATTAACATTGGCATACCCAGAACTTAGTCCAGGGCCATGTATGTATTAGGAAGTCAATACATGTTTAGTTAATGAATAAATGAATGAATTACTACTACTAATCTTTCTCTCATCCATAATTCCTTCCCCTCCAGTGTCCCTTCCTCCACTTCTCTGTGTCTTCTTTCTTCCCATCTACTGTATCATTTTCTCCAATTTTTCCTGTTTCTTTTAGGATATCCTAATATCTAGCCTCTTTATTTTACTTCTACTTCTCCTTTATCTTCTCAACTTTTCTACTCTTTCCCTCCTCTCATATTCTCTCTTTCCTCTACCCCACCCCCCGATATCTCTTTCTCTCTCACACACACACACATTTTTCCCATTTAATAAATATTCACATAGTTACTTAAAATTCACACTTATTAATGTGGGAGGGAGTTTCAGGAAGTGACAACTGATAGCAGAGGAATTAGCAAAAGCATAAAACAAGAACCAAGAAAGTTATTTAGTGTTGGGGCGAAGAATCTTATTGAAATGGAAATGCTTTCAAAGGCATTTTTTTAAAGCAAAATTCAATACCTAAAAACTCTAATGATAATAAAGAGTCATGAAAAACATAAAATTGTGATAGTTTTTATGCTTCGGGCTTAGAAAAGTATGAAGTATATTTTATGAATATATGTATTGCTTCAAAAGATATAGTTTAAGTTGTTTGGAAACTTTGAGTATGCATGCACTTATATATCATGAATATATATCTTTGTGTGTCTGAGAATGTTCATATGGCCAACTCTCTATTTATATGTGTATCTATAATAGAATTTTCAATGAATAGCCTACAACATGCTGCTTTCAATCCCAGTCTTACTCCCAGTATACTTTAAATGGAGGGTACCACTCTCTGACCTCATTGTGTAGAGGAGGGTTCCATTGTCCACCAGCCTGAGAAGCTTGTTAGGTGTGGTCATGTTATGGGCCACTGATTTCTTGCCATTGTGGAAGAAGGTGTCAGGGGTCCAGATCTTACTAGCCAGGAGATTGTTCAGTGGAAGGATCTTCATGGGTCCATCAAATTTCAGTCTTTCATCATGCCATGTCTGTCGAAAAAATACATCAATGGTGTACTCCTAGGGACGAAAAAAGAGAGAACGATGTTTGAGTAGAGTTATGGTGAGGACCCACAGTGCCCTTAGCAAATATTAACTACCTTGCAATATTTCCTCTGATGCAGAGAAGCAGCAATCTATTAACAGTAATTACTGGTAAGTATGGCAAATGATTATGATTGAAAAATAATGCCATAGTGATCAATAAGTATGGATATAATATGTCTGACAAGATTTTCCATAGGAAGGTCACTACCAACACTGCCTTGCACATCATACAAGCTGACCACAGGACTTCGCCTCATGAAAAGGTAAGCGCACCCCTCTCTATGCAGTGGCATCTCTAGTAAGAAAAAACTCCTTATTTGTTTCTTCTACTAAATGATCCCATATGAACATCAAAGGCCAATATAACAATCACCATAAAACCAAAACCTTAAATTTTAAAACACGTTTCATTTGAGCCTCAAAATAACAATATCTCTGATGAGTTAATATTTTATTATCTTTAATAACTAAGGAACTCTTACAGATAAATAAGATAAAAACAAACATACAAATATAAAAATGGGTAAATGACATGAACAGAAATTCATGAAATGGATAAAAATTGTTAATAAAAATGAAGAGAATTTTCAAAATTGCTGTTAATCTAAACACAAATTAAAATAACAACAAATGTTCAAGGTTTTGGTAACAGTAGACTAAATTGTTTGGATCTACCTTCCTGTAGCTATTAATTATAAAATTTGAACAAAAAAATACGTATATAGAGAGACCATTTGAAAACAATGGGGAGTGACTGAAAGCAGACAAAAACTTGAGGAAAGGTTACCCTTGAAAGATGGCAGCAGCAAAAGGTTAAAATTGTGAGTTTGTGGCTTTTCTTTCCTGAAGGTGTTCCCCCAAACATAAAATTCCTATTGCAGTTATCATAGCCTTACTGGCTCAAGGTGTCAGATAATGTGGAAATTTAGGAGTGGGAGCCCTGGAAGCAAGAGAATCACAGAAGGATGGGACTCCCAATCTGGGTATATACTCTGCCCCAAATTCTGGCTGACGGTGACAGTATACACATATAAGGAAGACCCTTGGGCTCAGTTAAAAGAAATGGAGGCAGAAACAATAGAGGAGTCTTCCACTAAATGACAGATGACAGAACTGTGCTGGGTGATGTTTGTGAGTTTGGCGGAAATCAGAAAACTTATTGGCTTAATATCTCAGGAGACAGAGCTCAAGGCTGGGCAAAGAGGTGAAAATTCAGGGTGAGGCCCTGGAAGCAAGAGAATCACTGAGAGAGTGAGTCTCAAAATCTGAGTACAAATTCTGCCCAAACCCTTGACCTACCGCTAAACTAAACAAGGCATGGGAGACACCTTTGGGTAGCCAAGGAAAATAAAGAGGCAGCCAGATGCTGCTTAAAATCCTTTGGCTTAAAATCCCTCAATGGCTTCCAATCATATCTGGAATAAATTCCAATATCCTTCCCTAGCCTAGAAAGCACTTCATAAACTGGCCCTTGCCTCCCTCTCTGAGCTCTTCTCCAACCACTCTTCCCTCTACAAACTAGCCACTCTGGCTTTTCTCTTCCTCCACCATGCCAAGCACGTTCCTACCTAAGGATTAGGAAATTATATAATTTCTTGTCTAAACTGGAACACTTTTGAGAGTGAGAGGAAGCTTTATCAATAATTATACCAGAACAACAGGTATAAACAAGAACTGTGCCAGGTGAAAGGCTGGAAATGGACTCCCACATAAAACCAAGATCCTGAAGGATTCCAACCTCAGCAAAAGGGTGAATTAGATAAAATGAACTAGACAAAACCAGTACACAACACGAAAATTCAAAAAGGAAACTTGTCTATCCAAGCATGGATTCTGAATAGAGAGTGGTTTAGAGGAAGCATTTCCACTGAGATTTAGCATCCTTAAGCCTAATCTTACATGGGATTGATGTTTAAATGTACACTATCTACCTGGTTTGAGGTTTACAAACTGAGAAATTAACATAAAAATTGGTCTCAGGATATGGATACCTCTAGATTGACTTGCAGAAGCAAATACAAAAGCACTCTGGAGGGACATGACCAAAAATAAATGCTTGCTGAAAACAAGCTTACAATCGACAACAACAAAACACCTAAGGAAATGGTCATGAGCGAGAGTCAGCTGATACAACATATAACTGAATTACACCCTCTCCAAGAACTTCACAGAACAATCAGATATTATAAAGGAACTATAATTAAAATGATAAAGACATCAAAGGAGAGATTGAGAACATGAGAAAAGATCCAGACATTATGGGGTGGGACTGAGAAAAAACAGATTTAAAAAAGGTCTATTTGAAGTAGACCTTCTATAAAAGAAAAATAGTCATTGAAAATAAAAACTCAATGGATATGGTACATAGAAGATTAGATAGCGTTGAAGTGAAATTAGTAAACTGGAAAATACATGTGAAGAAAAATTGCTCAGTGTACATTTCAGACAGGTAAATGATAACAAAAAAAAAAACATAAAAGAGAGGTGTAGTACCATGGAGGATAAAAGGGAAAAGTTCAGCATAATCTAATAAAATTCTAAAGTTACAGAAGAGAGAGGAAATGGAAGACAAACAGTATTTAAAGTACTAATGGATGCCAGTTCCTCTGAATTATTGAAATATATGCATCCTTAGCTTCAAGAGCCACAATGAGTTGTGAGCTCAATATAATAAAATAGATCCAAGCCAATACAAAGTGGACTTGAAGACTACCAAAGAGGAGATCTTAAAAACAACAAAATAGAAAAGGCATATTACATACAAAGAAATAACAATTTGATAGCAGACTTCTTGAAAACAAAAACAGGAGCCAAAAGAATTCTATAGCTAACTAGATTATCACTTAAGAATAAGGGAAAAATAAAGACAATTTTAGACAAAATAAGTTTTCCTCATGACTGGGTCGCTCATAGCATTCAGGCCTCATTCAAAAGTCTCCATATCACAGAAGTATTCCTTGACCATCTTATTGTAAATAGTAATCCTCCTTCCCCTTACAATGCATTATTTTTCTTCATGCATTATTTTGTCAGATAGCACTGACAAAATGTATTTTTACTTGCTTACTATTTCTTTCATTCCACTAGCTTGGAAGTTCCATAAGAGCAGAGATTTTGTTCTGTTTCCTGTTATATCCCTAGTATCTAAAACCTTACCAGGCATCTAGTAGTTGCTCTATAAATATTTTGAATAAACAAATGATTGAATGAATCTTTAGGAAAAGAACTACTAAAAAGGACTTCTTCATGTAGTTGAAAATGAAACCAGCAGGAAGATGCAAGAAGGAATGGTGAGCACAAGTGTTGACATATTTATGGGTAAACTAAACAAATAATGGCTGTCTACAAACAATATTAAGGGCTATAAAAACAAGGTGAAACAAACAACTAGAGTAAACTAAATGGAAGGAGGGAGTAGGAATATGTGGATTAATGCACTCCTATATTATTTGGGAAAAGAGTGGAGATATTAGACTTTAGGTCAAGTATGTAAGTTAACATTTAAGGTAACCACTAAAGAATATACTAGAAATAGAATAAAAAACCTACAAAAAGTAGAGAAAAACAAATAGCAATATAGAAAATGTTTCAATCCTATAGAAGGCAAGAAAAAAATAGGGCATAGAAAAACATTGGAAAAAAGAATACATAAAATAAGATAACAGATACAAACAATATAATCTAAGGATAAACAAACAATGTAGCTATATGCAATGTTTATACAAGAGTCACACCTAAAGACACATAAAAACACAGGTCAAAAGTAAAGTGATGGAAACATATGAATGGGCAAATCCTAATCAAAATAAAGTGGTAGAACTATAAAATACAGATAGAATGGACTGTAAAACAAACATTTTTTCTTTGGGATACAATATTATTACACTAAAAAATAAATTATGTCAAATGGAAAAAAACGATTATAAATTTTTATGTATGGATAACATGGACTTAAAACATATAAAGCAAAAATTGAATTAAAGGAGAAAATGACAAACCCATAGACTCTCAATAAATGAGAGAGCAATCAGACAACGATTTGTATGATTAAAATACGTGAAAAACCCAACTGACAAACATGAGCTAAGGAACACACATAGACTTATCCGCTTAACACTTAGTAAAACACACATTTTTTACCAAATATAAATGATCATGTGCTAAGCCATAAAGCAAATCTCAAGAAACACCAAAAAGATGTCATATCCTACAGACCATCTTCTTTCAATATGAGGCATTACACTAGAAAATAAGATACATGCACCCCTGTGTTCATTGCAGCGTTATTCACAATAGCTAAGACTTGGAAGCAACCCAAGTGCCCATCAAGGGACGAATGGATAAAGAAGATGTGGTATATATACACAATGGAATACTACTCAGCCATAAGAAACGATGAAATCCAGCCATTTGTGACAACATGGATGGACATTGAGGGTACTTGCAAAGTGAAATAAGTCAGAGGGAGAAGGTCAAATACCGTATGATTTCCTTCATTAAGTAGTAGATAATAACAACAATAAACAAACACATAGAGAAAAAAAAGAAATGAATAATAAAGTTTTACATTTGTAAATTTAAAAATCCACTGTAAGAATTTCAAGAAACAAAGAATAAACCATAAGGGATATTAGAAAATACTTAGAATTTAGAATTAAACAACAGTGAAAATACTTATATATGAAATCTTATAGTGGGCTCCTCAAGTGGTACTTAGAAGAAATGTGATAGCTGTAAAGAAGCCTTAAAGATAGCCTTAATAAAAAGGAAAACCATAAGCTAATCTACCTCAAGAAACCAGAAAGAGCAGAGTATCACAAGGAAAGTAAAGAAAAATATGACCCATGGTGCTTGAAAATATGTTGCTAAGACGGATGTTGAAGAGCGTACTGCCTATGTTTTCTTCTAGAAGTTTCATAGTTTCAGGTCTTACATTCA